GACATGAAAACATCATAATTAACACGGATTTAGAAAAAACAAAAACCACAAAATTAATTACTAATTAATTATAAATAAATAATTAGTGAAACCGTAAATGTAGACTGAAAAAGAAATCTACAATTGTAGACTTTGTCTGTAGACTTTGTCTGACCTGTCAGGTTAGTTTTGCAATCATAGCAAAAGTACGTAGACTTCTTTTTCAGTCTACACAACAATTTGGGTTATTTTTACAATTGACCAAAACTTTGACTTTATAAGTGTAGACTTCTTTTTCAGTCTACAAAAAGCATTTAGGTTAGGTTTGCAATTGACAATAGTTTGATTTTTTCAAGTAGGCTTCTTTTGCAGTCTACACGATACACGGAAAATCGTTTTTCAAAGTAGACTTCGTGTATAGAATTCGTCTCACGTGTTGAGTTAGATTTGCAATTGACTAAAATTTGACTTTTTGAAGTAGACTTCTTTTACAATCTACTTTCTATGTAGACTGCAAAAGAAGTCTACACTGAAAAAAAAGAGGTTAGTTTTGTGTTTGACCAAAATCTCGATTTAATTAAATAGTAGAGTGCAAAAGAAGTCTACTTTGCAGTCTACATAGATATTTATCCATGGTCAAATTTTCGAAGTTTTAGTCAAACACAAAACTAACCTATTTTCTCAAAGTAGACTTCTTTTGCAGTCTACTATGAAAAGTCAAAGCTGAGGCAAATGCAAAACTGACCTCAAAAAAATTAGACTTCTTTTACAGTCTACGGCAAGTAGACTGTAAAAGAAGTTTGCTCTAAAAAGTCAAATTTTTAGTCAAATGCAAAACTAACCTCAGTGAAAGTAGATTTCATATGAAGTCTATACACGTTTTTTTTTTGTTTTCAAAGAAAAACACGTAAACTTCTTTGTCAGTCTGATTGGATATTTTTAAAAATGGTCAATTGCAAATATAACCCCTTCGTTGACCTGTAAACTATAAAAGAAGTCTACTTTCGTGAAGTAGATCTGAAAACGGGCAAAAATCAAGTAAGTTTATCTTTTTTCTCCGTTCAAGCTCGTTTTTAGCTTCGTCACCTCCCTCAAACTTCGAATCTCACATGTAAGAACAAAGCCCAGACGCCGTTATGCAAGAACTACAAGAAGTTTTTTGGTTGTTAGAGAGAAAAATTATAAAATAAAAATAAGAGAAGTTTTTGGATGAAATGTAGAGGAAATAGAAGATAAAGAGTTATGAGCTCAAAGATGGGGAATTTAGATAAGAAAAAACGGTTTGAGAAGCATTTAAAGCTTCAATTTTGTTGTTCATGGTGGTTGGAGAAATTAATGAAGATGGCATTTTTGTGAATATAATGGTTTCTTTTGGTTATGTTGGTCATTTTGCTTATTTCGGAATTT